TTTATTGGTATTAATATTTTTTGTTTATTTTCAGGTGCCAAGTCTGTGACTAAAGCAATGAAGAAAGTTGCCTCAGGACCACGGAGGGATGAGGGCTCAAAGTGGTTTTTTGAATTGTCCGACAAAGGTAAGATATCTCTCTTATGAGAGTCATCAAAAGCTATATTCTCTCCACAATTATCTGCAGATGTCAAATTCCTTCTTGATATGAGATGAATACAATGGAATATAATTATTGTGAATATTTTACAGTGAAAAGTACAAGGACTCATGTGTACTTCTGCATGAAGAACAGTCCACCCAATGATGAAGAATTTCAGGGTACACTGTTGAATGTAGTTGACCATTACCAGGTAATTTGAATGACTGTTTATTGAGAACATAGTATTTTGTTTTCATTTTTGTAAGTACCTTTTGTTGTGTTATTCTAGTAAGATATGACATGATCATTACCTCAAAGATTGCACATATTTCTTTAATAATGGTTAACAAGAGACATTATACTTACTATACTTACTATAATTATTACTACTGATTTATTAATCTATTTTTCTATAACTTGGTGTATTTATTAATCGGGGTAATCATGTCAGATGCCATGCAGAGTCATGGTGCAAGCAGAATGGCTATGTGATGAGCAAAAAACTGTTAACTAAACCTGAAGCAGTAGCTGCATACAGGAAAGCCATTATGAGCACTTCAATTTATAGGCATGCATCGGACTACATGCGGGTAAATAATTGACACATGCTGTATGTTTATGTTTCTTAGCATGAAGAAGTTTATCTCTTCTTCCAAATTAGTGATGTTGAGGTAAGGGCCATAAATGAGTTGAACAAATTCATTTTCCAGTTAAAGAAAAGTCACCCATAATTTGTTGCCTTCTTTAGTGCAGGGGAACATATTGGATTGAGTCTCTCCATTCAGTGATGCCCATTTATGCTGCAAAGCGGATTCATTATGGGGATGACTCATACAACATGCGCATGGAGTTAGCCATTCTTGATTGGGTAAGAAACTTATGTTGTTAATTCTGCAAAATACCTTCGGCACTTTTTGGATCCACTGCTTTTTCATGCTTATTGACTCATTTGTCTTACAGAATGAAATGTGAATCGAGAAGCATCGTCTCTACAGATGTACAAACATGCCAGGCATCCAAATCGCCTGGCAGAGACCAGGGTGCTTACTTTAAAGACATTTCATTTCAGAGAAACTATCTGGTCTACCTTTTTTAATATAAACAAATGATGTCTCATCTGTTTTCCATCGCACCACAGTTTCTGTGATAATTACAACTAGCCCAAATGTCCTGTAAAATATGTGAGGTCATTAGGGAGGACCAATTCTACCAACTGCTGGTACTAAGTGATGAAAACATGAGTATTAGGTTTGACACTAGGTATTTTCTAAGCAGACTCGTTCTCTGTTTCCTCTTGTTACTTTCCTCTGCACTGTGTATCTTTTCCTAACTTATAGGAAAGTCACTATAATTTGCTGTGTGCACATTATAAAATGGACCATAAACAATTTGGTACTTGGGCTCTCTTTAACGTGGGCATTTGAATGAGAATTTTGCTATTCCCTTTTATGCCCCATATAGGGAATACCAGGAGGGTTAGGAAACCTTGACCTCACATCTTTTATAACACAATTGGGCATCCTTTCCCGCACAGCAATTACGTGGTCCCCCAGTTCGACTTTTCTAGCCTGATAAATAGGGTCTTTCCAGAGC